TCCACAGCAACAGTTCCACAGTCCTTCAGCTCCCTCTGCTGCTTAATCAATTCCTGTATTTTTCGTATTGGCAATGAGCTTTTACTATTTTTTTTTAACCTGTTTTGATGAGAAAAAAATTATGCAGATTAAAATTGCACCTAAAGCAATGAAATGATTGTTTGAATTGATAAACAGTGTGTGCAAAGCTTCATGTAATTATTGTCCCTCCTTTTCTCAGGGAATGACAAGAAGCCCATGACTCTTCTGATTACTTTCGGGTGACTTGTAGTGCATATACTCTGTCATTGCAATTTTATTTGATGTAGCTGAAATGTATCTGTTGCTTAAGCTGACATTTCCTGATTATGTAGTTTTATTTCATATGAATTAAAAAAAAATATTATGTCTTAATATAGCTCAATGTACTCTTTATTACTGCAGTTTCCTGTAGATATCGTCAGAATATTTTCTTTGATTTTGATGTTAATCTATCAAAAAATGTTAAAAAAAAAAGAAGCAGCTTGTATGTTTGCATATTCTAGCCTTTATTGCTGTCTTTCCATTTCTAAATATTCTTGACAAAAATTACCCTAGATAGCAGATAACTGAATATATTCAAAAACGGTGCTGGTCAAAAAGTGATATAAATGCAAACCACACAAACACATACACATTCATTAAAGTACAACTCCGGCTAATAAGGTATAATGAAGGAAAGTAATGATCTGCCAGAATATGTGTGAGAAGTATTATAAAAACCTCAGCATTATACATGATACTGACTAAAATGGGGATTTGAAGAGCAGTAAAGGTTAAGGGAATATTAACACACAAGATTATGCTGTTCAAGGAACCTCTGATCCTCAAGGGATGGTCTATCTAGATTACATCAAAGATAGGAAGTTTAGAATTCAATGTGTAATTTTCTCCATAAGTACGCAGGGTAGCATATCCATTTTTTTTCTCTTTGGATCTTGGAATTACCCCAAGAAAATAAGCTTAAGAAATCTTCATTTGAAATTCTGCAAAACTCTTGAAAGCACAAGTTTGGGTAATCTTGGCCAAGCCATTACTTCCTCTAAGACAACTAGGATGACTTCCTGAGGGATCTGAAATAACGCTTAGCCAAAGCAGCAATGGTACCTGTGGGTACAGTTATGCTTCACCTGGGGATAAACACAAAACACCTGCACTCCAGCATGAAGAGAAAAACTCAGACTAGTCAGGCTTGTTCAGATCTCCTAGGCACTGCTTGGATGAGCTGCTGTGTCTTTTGTAAGGACTGTGTTTATATTAGAATCTTTTCAAAGTGTTTGCTGCTGTTTAGGAAATGGTGAGACACTGCTGGCTCTGCTCGGGGCAAGTGGCTGACTTTGCTATCACCTCTTTCCTGCAGCTTGTTCCTGAGCAACACCTTAGGAGCAGGCCCATTGGGCTTGAAACTAATTCCATGACTGAATTCTTCTCAGGAGGAAATTACAGAATGACAGTCAAATCCAAGAGGTTGTAGGCATGTGAAATAAATAGGTGGGTTGCAGGAGCCCAAAGCTGCAGTCAAACAAGAGCACCCTCAGAGGCTGCCTCATTCTGGAGGTACGGCAGAGGACCTTCCCCTTCCAGTCTTGGTGCCTATCAGGCACTTGGTATTTCTGCACATCCTGACCTTCCCTGACCTGAGGGAAGTAACATATTGCCTGAAAAAGCTTCAAATGCTGACAGTCCCATTTTCAGAAAATATATAGGGACACAGAACAGTAGAAGACAACAGTGATCATCATACCCAGTCCTGCACCTCCAGAGTCAAACAGAAGATGAGCAGCAATTTGGAGCATAAAGGACCTAAGTCATAAAAGCATTCCCATTGCTGATAAATGTTACACCTACAGTAAAAAGGCCTGTAGCCCAGCTGGGAGGTGATACAGTCAGGAGAGAGAAAGCAAGCATTCAAGGTCACATCAATGAGCTTCACCTCTGCAACAACAAACCATCACTTAACATGAAATTCTTCAGTGATTCAGCTGGCTGCTCCTTTCAGGTCTGCCCTTCTCACTGGCCACTCTGTCCCAGTGGTCACTAGGGGCCCAGGAAGCCCAGCTCCTTACCAACACCCCAGTGTGCAGGATAGCTCATGCTGCAGAGGCCTAATTGTGGGCTTCACATCTCAGTTGCAAGGATTAGACTCACCCAGCCTTGCCCCTGTCAGCACTCGCCTCAGCACTAGGCTCAGCACTGAGGACTCTGTTCAGAGGCTGCAAATGTAGGGCTTTGCATTAGTGCCTTTACAGCATGAAATGGTGTCCAGCTGCTCAACAGGAACACCAGTCACCCCTTCCAAATTAATAAAGGAAAATTTCCTTCCTGGTCCCATATTTGGTCATTAGTTTAACCTTGAACGTGTGAGTAAAATACACCAAGGTGCTACTACAAGAGTTTAAGATCTCAAATCCATCAGCCCATTCTAACTCAGCCTACCACCAAAACCTCATGAGTACTGCAGAGGGCAGAGAAGAACTGGAAACCAAAGTTATGTTATCTCTGGTGGTGGAAAGGTGGAACAGATCTTTCCTTCACAAGCTGCCAATGACCTGGAGAAATTCAGGATTACTACAAAATAAATAAAATGCAAGTAATGTGAACCCACAAGAACCTAGTTTCAGTTCCTCCTTTTTGGAATACTAAGGAACTTAACATTTCTTTATCTGGGATCAAACTTTTCCCTAAATATTTAATCCTTGGTATAAAAAATGTATTTTCCTTATTCTCTGTCTTATTTAGAAAACCTTTCTTCTTCAGATGATTATATACCATATTCTAATTTCCTATTTAAATTAACCATGACAATTTTATAACTGTTCAACCTTGCACCATGCAAATTCGCATGGTGATCTTGCACATTGTCAGCCTGTCCAGGTACCAGGTGATATTCTACTGCTATTTCCAGATAGTTTTGACTCAACAAGCAGCAAAGAGGCTTTTTTTCCCCAACTGAATTTAATGTAAACAAAACATGATTGGCAGATTTGTGTGCTTAGGACCCAAATTCCAGGTACGTGACCTATCACTACCCCTAGAACAGTAAATTAACATGCCAGTATTGGCCTTCTGACACTTGAGGTAATGAACAGCAGTTTCAAACTTCTCAAATATCCAGAGTTCATGTATGTAAACTATCTAGCTGGTATGCTCCTCAGCCCATGCTGATTCTTAAACCATGTCTGGTACACGTGTAAGTGCAAAGCCGGACACTAATGGTGTGCCCCAGCTATTGGTATTAGAGCCAATGCTGTTTACCCTCTTCATTAACATTCTGGAAGACAGGAGTAGTGCAACTTCCAAAAGTTTACAGGTATTATTACAGCACTGTGGCTGATACAACAGAGGTTTGCGCTGACAGAGACCTCAAGAGGGCAGAAAGGACCCTGGCAGTACTAGTACGCACCAATGTAGCAACACAGCCTTTCAGCAAACAAGGACAAATCTCCTGAGCTGCATTAGGAAGTGTCATCAGGAGGGTAAGGGAAGTGATATACCACTCTGCTCAGCTCTGGTGAGACATCTGGAGTGGTGGGTCCAGTTCTGGGCTTCCAGTACAAGAGAGACAAGGACATAGTCGAGTGAGTCCAACAAAGTGCCATGAAGATGATAAATGGATCAGAACATGTGACCTTAAAAGCAAGACTGAGAGCTGGAACTCCTCAGCCAAGAAAACATGAGGTCCAGGGAGATCTTACTGATGTGTCTAAACACCTGATGGGGCAATGGTAGAAGTAGAAAAGACTGACTTAAGAGTCTTCCCAGCGGTACTCAAGGAAAGGACAAGAGGAAATCAGCACAAAGTGAAACACAAGAATCTTCATTTACACATAATATAGGAAAAAACTCAAACAAACTTGCAAGGTGATCAAACACTGGAACAGGTTATCCTGAGAGGCTGCGGAGTCTCCATCCTTGGAGATTATTAAACACCCAATTACACATGCTCTGCAGCAACCTGCTTTGGTTGACATGCAGTGTGGCTGAAACAGCAGTTCTCCAGACGTCCATTCCAACATCAGCAATTCTGTGCTTCTCCAGCCGAGAACAATTTTACACAGAAAACTGACACCACCACCACTAACCTGACCTTGGTAACCCATGAAGTTGAAAGCCTGTCTACAATGTTTTGCACTTCATAGCATCTGGATCGAGTAACTGTTATAGCAGCTACACCTGCAAACCCTTGACGAGGGACCCACATCTCCAGTGAGCCATACCTGGAGCTGAACAGCACCTTCAATTTCAAGAAAGAGAAGAAAATATGGTTCTCTTGCATCCATGACAATGATTATACTACCTTATATTTGGAAATAATGGAGGAATGAGACAGCTCCTTTCAGACTTAGGATGAAGCTAGCAGCTTCTTGGTTTCCTCAGATAGGCTTACCCACGTAACAAGTACAGGAAGAAGCTGGCAAACCACACCAACATTCTGAGCAAAGCTCAGCTTGGTGGACAGACTCTCACCATTGATTATCTAGCTTGTAGGTTTGATCTGGTAAGCAGAATTTTCAAATTCCTAAAAAGTGAAAGCATTTTACATATCTGTAAAGTTAACATTAGATGAGCTAGCATTCTAAGAATTTCAGGAGGTGTCCAAAACCAAATGTGGCAGTTTATTAAATTTTGAGTTTAGCCATAGTTCCTAAATCTAGGTACAAGAGCTGTAGTTCTAGTGCTTATCTTTAAAATGAAGTGATGAAGATCATCAAGCTTATGAGCCTCTATCAATGACGGTGAAAATATAAAGGTTTTATGAAAATATTTATTCAGTAGCAACAGAAGTTTTAGAAACCAAGTCCTAGTCAGACTGCACAGAATTAAATGTTCACTGAAATGTGCAGATCATTATTTGGCAAGTCTTTTGGGATACTAAATTATCTTGCTGGAATAAGATGAGAAAACACCATTTTTAAGTCTTGTTCATTTGCTTTGTTTACTTCCGTGGAAGTTGGCTCCCAGAAAAAAATTATAAAATTAATTGACACATGTGATAGCACTGCCCTTTCCACCAGCACCATGTGTGTAGACTATAACCCCCTGTGTTGTAGAAAGATCAGATATTACCATAATTTTTCACTTCTTTTTTCCTTTACACATTAGCATTATAGCGATCTCTGTTCTGAAAGTCTCTATAAGCACGTTTTGCATCTTTTTTACTGTGTGGGATTCTTCCAAAGGGTTCCAGATCATTGAAGCAGGCATCAAAAACTTCATCCACAGCTTTCTCTGCCGTTTCTTTGCTAACTTTTCTAACAGCCAGAATGGAACGGATGGCTCTGTCCCGTACACAAGTCTAAAGTGGGAATTAGATAAAGAAAAATCTGGTATTAGTCGTAAAAATATTTTTTTCAGATTTTGTCAGGCATTAGCTCCTACTACAATCATTCTGTATCACAGAGGAGTCAAACAATGCCTGTAATAAGCATTAAAGTACATCCTGTGTTAATTATGTATTTTAGTTTTCCATGTGCAAAATAAACTGTCAAATAAGTAACAGACATTCCTTAGAACAGGATTAAAATACTATTCAGTACTTGTTGTAGATATCAAGTATTTGTACAACTTGATTTGACACAAGAGAAAATAAGTCAGAAAGAAACACTTAAATACCAGTCAGTACTCTTGAATCGAAAAGCTATAAAACACAAAGGAATGACTCCTCTACTGGCCTTAATCTTGACACCTCTCTTTATGGCACGTTTTCCTTACAGAGTTTGCCTACTAAAAGATAAAAAAATACATAAACATTCCCAGCTACAAGCTATAACATGAGCAACTACTTCAGACTAAACCTTCAGACTTGATTACTATTAAAAAAAATTATTCCTATAAGACTTAACAAACATGGTTATTGTGAATCTTTGTCATTCTCCTTCTTCCAGTTTTCTTTAAAGTTTTACCCACCTATAGTGGGTAAGGTATTTCCACTACATTTCCTGCAAACCCTGTTTTTCTTTGTTTTTTATTAAACATCCATTGTCAGTGACAATATGACTAAGTATTCAGGAATTTCACTCCAACAAAAACAAGGTGGAAAATAAATTTATCACAAATCATTAGAAGTTATTAAAGGTTGATTAAGATAAAGTAGCAAGTCAATGGCACCTACTTCTTTCTCTGATATTTTCAGCTATTACAGTATAGAATGCCAAGACCAAGTAGGTAAAGATGGCTCATAAAAAATCAGTAGACTTTAACATCTACAGTCTTTACCTGATGGTGTCCTTTCAATCCAAATTTAAATCTAGCTATTTCATTCATCAGTGTACAGTCTCCACTAAGATTAGCAGCTCGAATCTATTGAGAAGAAAAAAAGCCACACAATCAGAGAAACACATTGAAATAGAAGTCAAAAAAGCTGTAACAAAGTTTTTTCTTTAATATCTTTATGAGAGATATTCCCAGGACCACTTGTACCTATTAAGGACTTATCACCCTTTATATCCACTCTCTCAGCTTCAATGAACTGCAAAGTATTACTATAGAACCTGTCAATTTCTCCAGGGACCAATTTTCACATATTCCCAAGGCGTAAATGAATGAGCAGAAAAGAGAATACACATAGGTATGTACATATGTACATATATATATATGTGAACTGCTAAAAGAACATGGAAAGAAAATATTCTCCCCAGTCTATATCAGAATCTGATACAAAGTCAAGAAGAAAGGCAGATGCCTTTCAAAGACTTCAGCTGCAATACCCAGAAGAACAGTAACCCATCTGCTTCTGGAAAAGCCACATTTAAATGAGTATGTATGTTTTAGCTTGTCAATGTCTTGTCCTATGCATTGTAATTTCTTTTGTCTGCCAAATGTTCTGTACCCTACAATCTCAGTTAGGAAATATAACTAAAACTAGATTTCCTATAATTCAGTAACAGTGACAATACATGTATGGAAAATACAAAAAGTAGGAATTAAAAAGCTGCCAATAAAAATGGTAAACACCATGTAATAAAAGTAAGTATCAAATGACCTGAAGTAAACAAATAATCTTGACAAGACCAAGAATAAGCACAATCTTTTTTTAATACATTCTCTAATTTTATGTTTGAGGTTTGCATGTTTTATTCTGCACTAAGTCAATTCTTTAACAAAAGAAAGAAAAAGTAAATGATAGTTAATATTTCTGAATTGCATTGGATTTACATGGCAAGACGTTGGCAGCAGGTGCCTGCCATGGTGCCTCCAGTGAAAGGAGACAATGGGCTGCCTCCATGTTAGGCAAAGCCAGTTCCAGCTGGCTCTCAAACAAAGCTGAGCACATCAGCAGTGTCATGACATATTTAAGAAAGGATAAAAAACACTAAATGGCAGCTGTGAGAGGGGGGAGTGAGAAAAACATGAGAGAAACCAGTCCACAGACACCAAAATAGGTGAAGAAGGAAGGGGAGGAGGTGCTACAGGCACCAGAGCAAAGATTCATCTGTCACCTGTGGAAAAGACCATGGTGACAAAGGTTGTCTCCCTGCAGCCTGTGAAGGAACACAGTGGAGCAGATATTCATGCTGCAGTCCGAGGAAGACCCCACACCAGAGCAGATGGACATGCCCTGAAAGGAGTTGCAGTCCACAGAGAGCCCCCACAGAAGCAGGTTTTCTGGCAGGAACTGTGGCCCATGGGGGACTGACACTGGAGCAGTCCACTCCTGAAAAACTGCACACTGTAGAAAGGACCCACACTGGAGCAGGTCTTGAAGAACATCAGCCCATGGGAAAGACCCAGGCTGGAGCAGTTAATGAAAGATTATCACATAGGAGGGACCCCACGATGGATTAACTAAAAGAAATCTAAACAAAAATAATGTTACTATACTACTGTGAAAACTACCCAACATACCAAGATTTACAGAGTAGGAAGAGAATTTTATAAACATTTCATTAATGTGTGAATGTGCTTTCATTTCTAACTACTCTAATTTGTTAATAACCACTTCCTGTTATACTCATACTCACAGTCATCACATTTTACTTCATATGACACTGGTTTGTGAAAAAAAAAATATTTGTTTTTCTGAATGAAACTGTTCAGGTTGACTTGACAGAAAGGGCAAAATATATTAACAGGATTAAACCAAATGAAGTCTTTGCCTATTTAAACATGAAACATCCCTAATAAGCAGCAGTAACTAATATAATGACAATGTTAGAAGCATTTTAACTCACCTCTGAACAAGCTAAGTGTTTGACATTTTTAAACCAGTCCACATGTGCACGGCAGTGATCAAAAGCATGAATCAACTCATGTGTAACCACTCGGTTCATATGGGATTGATGGCGAATGTTGTTCTGACACAGAACAATCTGCAGAAGAAAAAACGTAGGCAAGCTTTTCATCCAAGTTTCAACACCTTCCTCACGTCTCAGAGGCCTAGCACACACCAACTATAGCATTTAGACTCTTTAGATCAGTGTTTTTCACATGAACAGCCTCATGAAGAGCAGTGCACTAGCTCCAGCACCATGGAACATCTTTCATTTATCATGTTTTCACGACTTCAACTCAGAAATGAGCATTAGTAGATTCAATCATAGTAAAAAACACTAAAACAATGGTAGTCCTTTGGAAGAGGGCAATGTCCAGTGCCTACCTGGGATGTGGCAGAGTCAAAGCCTCCACTGACACAGCCATCACAGTCTTCACAAGAAAAATGACGGTCATTGAAGACAGTGCTGAAAGGCCCAAGCAAACAAAGTTACAAGGAAGAATCTGAAAGTGACCTTAACTCCATAAAATAGTGTCATTACTACACAGAAGCTGAACTAGTGCACATACCAGCCCGACTGCTTCATAGCCTCAAGGAGAAGTTGAGCATATGGATCTAGAAAAACATTGCTGCAATCAATTTCTCTAGACAAAAGTTTTCAAAGTCATCTATAATCAAAATATAGAAACAGTCAAGGAAAAAGAAAAAAAATATGAGAAAAGCACTAGACATGCAAATTCTTAAGTCGTAGCATTTAACCTTAACGCAGTGCGACTGGCATCTGTTACAGCTCAGGCTGTATAAAGTCGTATGGAATCACGACATAAAACCACGATATACACAAAGCTATTCAGGAATCAAGGAACTTCCGACGCTGTTTTATTAGTAGCAAACTGGGCCTACTGTTTTCACAGTCAACACTACACAGTGAAATGGGCACAAGTGAGCCAGAAATCGACAAACCCTCTCAAGTTATCAAGAAAATTAGTGAAGTTCCTTCTGATAGGAAAAAAAACAAACCCAAAGAGTCCCTTCTGAAATCGGCATTTTCTTGTCTGAACCACAGCCAGGGCGCTCCGCCAGCAGCGGCCCCGGCCCGTCCCGCCGCCCCGGGGGCACAGCGGAAGG